ATCAAAAAATGTTAATAAATTCGTACTACTATTAAAAATAAATCATCCTATAGATATAACAGGCGTATAGCCATGGCATGCCATAAAGCAGAGGCGTCATGGTGTCGTGACGTCATCGTTATGGAATACCTATAACAAACGTATCGATCTCCATTTTCAAATTACATAATAATAAAATAACCGAATTACATGCGTATTATTGTTTATGGTAACTATTTAACTATACTATGACACTAATAATATAAACGTGGAAGTTTATCTGTTTGTATGTTTGAACGTCAATTGCGCTGAAACTACTGAACGGATTTTAATGAAATTTGGTATTGGCTATGTGCGCGACGGTGGCGACGCGTAGCGTTTACAACATTTGCGGAAGCTGTCAAATAAACATATTTTTTTTTTGCAAATATAAGTAAAACCAAAGATTAAAATAGTATTGTTGACATTTTTTAAGTGCAATTTATTCAATAGTTTTACTGTATAGTGAATCTATATGAATAAAAATGAATTTCCGTTCGTTATCATCAACAGCCTATAAATGCCCACTGCTGAGCAAAGCCTCTTCTCACACGGAGAAGGTTAGAGCATTAATCACCACGCTTGCTCAATGCGGGTTGGCGATTTCAAACTTATAATTAGAAATTATAAGTCCAGGTTTCCTCACGATGTTTTTCCTTCACCGTTTGTCAGTGGTGTCTAAATAATCTTAGAAAGTACATATAACTCGGAAAAAGTCACATTGGTACTTGCCGTTGGTAGGTTTCGAACCCGCACCCTCATGCATGAGAAGTGGGCGTCTTAAACCTCCGGGCCATCACGACGCTAAAACTCGAGAACGACTGAACCAATTTGGCTAATTTTGGTCTTGAAGTGTTTGTGGAAGTCCAGGGAAGGTTGCAAAGGTAAAAAAAGAAATTTAGGCGGTATGGAGTTCGCCGGGTCAGCTAGTATAATAATAAAAACCGGGATTTGCATCATCCGCATTTGTTTTCAATTTCTGCCGTGTTGTGCGCTTCGGACGTTATCTGTCCGCCACTACTCGCTTTGCAAATAGCCAATACAGGCAGGGTAGGTATGGGCTGACTTAGGTGATAGTAGCATTTAATTGGGACTTTTTATCCCGATTAAATATATTATATATATATTACATTGTATCATCATGAAACTTTGTAATTATAAGTAGATAAGATGACCATTATATTGAGGTTCCATCAGTGATCTGATGATAGAATTGAAAAGTGGGAGAAGGAATCTTGGTTTGCTAGACATGTGAAAATTTAGCCAACTAATCAGTTAGCTTGAGGTCTCTCAATGACAAAGATACGTCAATGTTTTTTAACTAATAAATAACATAACATCACGCCTTTATCGCTGAAGGGGTACGCAGAGGTACACATTATGCCACTGTAAAATGTAACATCCACTTTTCAATATTTATTTTATGAGTCCCATGTAATAGGGTGAGCCTATTGCCATATACCGTATATATTCTAGACTCCGTGCTTCTACTGAGAATTTTTTCCCCGGTAATTCTTTGACCGACCTGGGAATCGAACCCGAGACCCCTTGCCAGGTAGTCTCACTTGCGACCACTCGGCCAACGAGGCAGTTGTATCTAAATCTGGAAGAGAATCTGATACTTCGTACACAACAGTCACTATTCATCCAACAACTATGCTAATTTATTTATTCAAACATAAAATGATGTTGATTGAAATTTAATTCTACTTTTCACTATTTCCATTTGAGATAAACTTGGCAATTTGAATGCTCTCCGCCTAATGCATAGGAAATAAGAACAGTAGTACAAATACGATACGCAATCTTACTTTGCAACGGTAATAAACATGTGGACATGAATTTTATTTTTTTCTTAAAACACCCTTGCCGTGTTATTCTCCTATGTCGTGGGTGCGTTTACAAACATACAAGTTCACATAAACAATGACACCCAGACCCGAAACAACAATTTGTGGATCACACAAAGTGTCCATGGGCGACGCCGATTGCTTACCGTCAGGCAATCCGTCTGCTTGTTAACCGGCTTATCCCATAAAAAGGTAAAAACAAAGGATAAGAAGAAAAAATATTCCTCTGTTCTTAACCAATTAATTAACCTTCTGTTTCTCCCAAACATCAGCTAGGCGCCACACAGCAATTGGATTGCGTCGAGGTGGCCCTGTCACCCGTCTGTTGTACGTTTAATTTATTTTCCACGTCATAAAGTCAGTGAGATTCCACAATAACCCCTTATCTGGACTTAAATTCTTATTTCCTAGGAGATTTTGTACGATTTCATTTAACATTTTTCAGTTTAAAGTGAATAGTTTGTTGTGATGTTCTATCGTTGGTGAAATGACAACCTTATGATTGTGCAATCTACGATGCACTTTGTATTGTCATTGGATTTTTGTCGGTTTCTATGCTTATATATAATATTACAATTATGTACAACTAGTAAAAATTAGGTAATTATTATATCTTAATGTTGTACATCGTTGATGTCGTGGTGGCCCGGAGGTTTAAGACGAGGGTGCGGGTCCCACACCCTCATGCATGAGAAGCGGGAATACCAACGGCAAGTACCAATGTGACTTTTCCGAGTTATACTTTCTAAGATTATCTAAGATTATCTGACAAACGGTGAAGAAAGACATCGTGAGGAAACCTGGGCTTATAATTTCTAATTATAAGTTTGTAATCGCCAACCCACATTGAGCAAGCGTGATGATTAATGCTCAAACCTTCTCCGTGTCAAAAGAGGCTTTGCTTAGCATTGGGCATGTGTAAGCTGTTGATGATGATAATGCTGTTACATCTGCCTACCTCTTCAAAGATATAACTCGGTCACGTAATAGGGAGTATAAATATTTCCAAAAAAAGACTATTTTATTCATACTGTCTTTACACCACAACATTGGAAAACAAACGGAAAACTAGATACTTCTACATCAATTTACTTATACACACGTTTTTATCTACAAGTCTATGCTTCTAAACTATGACGTCACAACACCTCGCTCTTCTCTAATTTACTTTCTTTCACATCACCCTGTGTCATACATATATGAAGAGCTAAAGTGGATGTGACATGCCTTTGACATAGTAAATACGGTCTTATCTTTAACATAGTACAATATTATTTTGACTGACATCGTAAAATAATATGTAGGTCCTAAAGATTTACTTAATGCTGCGTTTTCTCTGGCTTATTGCTATTTAAGTATTGCCTTTTAACCAGTTTCCAGTAAATAACAAACTTCACTGATAGAAGGATCATTCATTATTTAAAAAAAAAACGCCTAAAGGCACGCACTAAGCGTTTCGCATCAAGCTTCCTTATGCGTACTGCTAAGGAGTGGAATTCTTTGCCAGAATCTGTATTTTATATTCCTGAAGGGTGCATAACCTGGGTGTCTTCAAGGCCCGAGTGAATAGGTTGCTTATGGGTCGACGTGCTCCATCATAGACCGCATCATCGCTTACCACCAGGCGAGATAGTGGTCAAACGTTGGCCCATCAAATATAAAAAGGTCACAATGACCTCCTAACCTCCAAAAAAGAGCGTGGTGTTGCGAGTATCCATGGGCGTCTTACGATCTGATGATCCGTCTGCTCATTTGCTAGCCTTACCCATAAAAAAGATAGATTAGTGATTCCTCGTAACGTCTTTGACTGATGTTAGTGTTTTCTAAATTAAATTAACACCAACTTATACCTTTGAACGTGTGCTATAAACAATGTAATAAAGTAATATATTCAGCTGCCTCGTTGGCCGAGTGGTCACAAGTGTGACTGCTGGGCATGGGGTCTCGGGTTAGATTCCCGGGTCGGGCAAAGCATTACTGGTTTTTTTTTAAATTCTCAGTAGTAGCATGGAGTCTGGAATTGTCTCCGAAGGGGCAGGCAGAGGTGCACATTACGACACTTAATGCCACTGTACAATGTAACACCCACTTTTCACTATTTATGTTATGAGCCCCTGTAATAGGGTGTGAGCCTATTGCCATATACTGGGCACAATTCAATGAGAATTAGAAAAAAAACTCACTAATACTTTGCCCGACTCGAGAATCGAACCCGCGAGCCCTTGCCCGGCAGCCGCACTTGTGACCACTCGGCCAACGAGGCAGTCGAGGAATATAAATCAACTGAAGCTAACTTTGGAAATAAAAAACTGTTATTTCATCATGAATGTGTTGTTCATGTGATGTCATACAAACATTTGCCGTCCAATCAATCGGATTAGTTTAGAATGCTTAAATACTTAAGTCCTATATATTAAATAGATTATATTTTTATTATTTTAATCCTCTCAGTGAAATAAGTGGTAGGATTATTTCACTACCGCATTGATCTGGTAGTATGCATCGCTGCGTGGCGGGGGAGTGGCATTTTGATTTCCATATAGGATACCGTAATGATTGTCTTAAGCTAATTATGTTAGTGTGATTCATTGCGTTGTGTTATTATGTTATTAAACTGGACTTATTATGCATCTAGATCAATGTAGTATACATATGTATTTAGATTTCAGCATGAACTAAAAATAGCCGATATTTGTAATCAATCTAACAATCCAAAATCAACAGAATTGCAAGTGTTGAATTTGACTAATTTGTAAATTAGTCAAATTCAATACTTTTTCGAACTGTCAAAAACGACAGTTTTCTATTAATTTTGTTCGAGATTGTGTTTTGTGCCGTCACTTTGTAATAGCGGCAAACAGCATACTTATTTCTTGAAAATTTGCTGAAAAAATACAAAAATTAAGTTGGTCATAAAATCAATTCACGAAAGTGTGATTATTTTTTAAATATTTTATCGTATTGAACAGTCGAAATAATTTATTTTTGATTAAAAACGTACCCAATTTTTATCAAAACTCTACCTACATCAATCCAAGATCTATGAGATCGGTTATTTCCATCTCCTGACTCGTATTTCTCGTCGATCTTATTTGGTTCATTTTCATAAAATACTTTAATTTCTTTTCACAGGTGGTGGCAGGGAACACCATTCCGAACATGAGGAGGAACATAGCGAGGAGGGCAAGAAAGCCTATGAGGTAAGCACATCTTTTGAAAAAAGTATTTACTAAAAATATTGAAAATTTTCATATGACTGGTAACGCATTTATAACTCCACTACTGTTGCTAGTATCAATGGGTGGCGTCAGGTGACCCATCTACTGGTTTGCCACTCTATGGCATAAATAAAAATAATATACTTTAGTACCTAGCAATGGTTAACAAGACTGGTAAGCTGCCTGCATCCAGCCACCCATCGTCAGGTGATCATTCTGCTCGTTTGGCCCCTATCTCATAAAGAAGGCCTTTTTCATAAAACGCCTCACTAAAAACCAAAAAACTTAATCGAATTTTCAAATATTTTTGAATTCGTAAAAGGTGAAGAGTTGGGCTGAAAGGAAAAAGTCATTGAATGCTAATTGGATAGAGCAGAAGCCAAAGCCCTGGTACTATCTTTATATGGACGTAAGTCATGTGTTTATTGTACCGTTCTAACTACTGCAAACAAGTGTTATATTGTTAACATGTGTATTATGCTAGTGCCAGACAAGTACACACTTGTTTGTTCATATTGTGCTACATGGACATTTGATGCCAATTTGTCCGCAACACAATGTGAACAAATAAATATGTACAAGTGTGGCGCTGGCATTAAGAGTAATTTGTGTCGTACTTAGATATTTATGTTTAGCTAGAATTGCCCTTTTTTGCAATTTCTATTGTTACTTCTAGCCTTTTCCTATAGCACTGAGTTTCAACGAAATTAGATTGATTGTTAGTATTTTACTTGGACCAAAAAATCACTCCGTGTTAGGATTTTCTCCTGCGTCGTCTTTACAAACTCATAGTTTCATATGTACAACAATTTGTGGATCATCAATTGTCATCATACAAAAAGTTATTTTGTGTAACAATCGAGTCTGTCTCTTTATATATACATAGACTTAGTTCATTGATATGACTTTCACCCTTTATACAAACATAGATTATCAACTAGAATATTGTATTTAGATTACGAAACGCTATGACACACACTTTCGTATGCATTCAGAGGTATTGTTATCAAACAAGACCTTAATTTGTTATGAGTAGAGTCTATTGTCAATTCATGTTTTGATTTAGTTCTAAAAATATGTTTTGAAAACACAGTTGGCACTATAGGTATAATGATCTATACTAATTGTGTTTTTGGTTAATTGTTTCAAGCCCTATCGACGATTCAACCTTTAGCATTTGTATACATTTATCTTTTGGGCTATCTAAACTATTGTCTAGTTGTTTAAACTATGACTAATAATAGTCAAACTGTAGCACAACATTTATTTATTTATTTATTTATAAACTATATACATACTACTATCCTAACAGGAACTAATACCTAATGCAATAGTGTATGCCAATATTAATGAAATTAAATTACAAAGTCTAATTTTACAATTTGGTACTACAACATTTATAACTATGGTAACAAACATATTCCTTAGGCCAAGTCACAGATGGGTACAGGTATAATAACAGGCTCTTCTGAATTCGTTCAGTGTACAATAAAATAAGTCAATGTATTCCGACATCACATTGAGCGTCCGCAGCGCCCGCGTCAGGGGCGCGCGCGCAACATTTTGTAATGTATTATCAGTTGTTTTGATTACGATACCAATATTAGACTAGTCTAGAATAGTGTTTATGACGTTTTCTATTCTGTCAATTTCAAAACTTGTTTTTATTACTTTACTTTTTTTTGTGGCAATGTCTATTTTAGGTAGGTTCAACGATTATGTCAAGATATATGTATATGTATATATTAACATTTTCAATAGAATTTAAACTGTTAAACATCGCGAGGACACCGGTGACCGCAACCTATTGTTATTTAATTGTGTCTATAATGACGGTACTCAAAGGGTTAATAAACCATTTTTTTACAAGCGCATTTCAATCAACGCTGTTATACAAATTGATCTCAAAACATGATTGCAACCAAAGTCTGCTCCCACGAAATATATACAATGTATGGGTCATTTTACAAAACAATTGTATTGATAAATCAAATCTCCCGGTCTGTTTCGATCATGGTGACCATGTAGTTTAGTCTAACTAGATTAGCCCAATGTAGGAGATATTATAGAGCATAAATGCACAAACACAGAGGCACTCTCTAAATCCAATATGAGCAGACAAAGGGTGGGCGCAGGATCGACTGCTATACATATTTTCAGAGACACGGGAGTAAAACCCTCTCAAATTTCCCAACTCTAGGCTAACAATGGTAATTTTAACCAGAAAAATTCATTAGCAACACTGATATCGATAGCGATATATTATACAGTAGCTGGTCACACAGGTACTGCGCTAATCGCGTAGTCATTATTGCTATCTTTTGGAAAGCCTTGGCGTTAATGAGCTTAACCTGTGTGATACCACGGCCTCAGAGAAAATCGACGTGAAACAAAGCTAGTGTTGTTGAATCAGGTTAGGGGAGACTCAATACTACCTCAATGACTTTGCGGTTGGCTGCCATAAAGTGACCTGTATACAACGGTCGCTGCAATCTATATCAGGATTTAGACAATTCATCATACTTTAATTCACATGAGATCATGCGAAGGTCAATAAAGACGTTTTTAATAAAATTATCATTTCAGCCAAATAATAATAACCTTTAGAATTTTCTGTTGTCAGTCAAAAACAAAATGAATGAGTAATTCTGAAAAGAAACGCTAACGGTGTTCGATTTTAGCTGTCAATTAAAATATTGTTAAGAAGAGAAAACTCAATTGGTTAGAGACCGTTATACAAGAGGTTTTTTTTTAATTTTTATAATAAGTAGGTATTTTGCCTCGTTGGCCGAGTGGTCGCAAGTGCGACTGCCGGGCAAAGTATTACTGGGTTTTAAAAAAAATCTCAGTAGTAGCACGGAGTCTGGAATTGTGCCCGGTATATGGCAATAATCTCACCCCCTATTACATGGGACTCATAACATAAATAGTGAAAAGTGGGTGTTACATTGTACAGTGGCTTAATGTGCACCTCTGCCTACCCCTTCGGGGATGAAAGGCGTGATGTTATGTTATGTAATAAGTAGGTAGAATATTTGTCTGAAACTCTGTTTTAATAATAAACGTCTTTCGTCTTTTTGGATAGACTGAAGTACACATATTAGATGTAACAATAACATTTTATCAGTAATGTTACGAGGCATGATTAATAAGTAATAAGCTATTTTGTCTATTGGAGTGTCGTGGTGGAACGGAGGCTTAAGACGCCTGCTTCTCATGCATGAGGATGCGGGTTCGAAACCTACCAACACCAAGTACCAATGTGACTTTTTCCGAGTTATATGTACTTTCTAAGATTATTTAGACACCACTGACAAACGGTGAAGGAAAACTTGACGAGGAAACCTGAGCTTATAATTTCTAATTATAAGTTTGAAATCGCCAACCAGAATTGAGCAAGCATGGTAATTAACGCTATAACCTTCTCCATGTGAGAAGGGGCCTTGCTCAGCAGAGGGCATTTATGGGCTGCTGATGATGATGATGATGAAGCTATTTTAAAAATTAAATTCAATAGAATTTAAAATATTTGTGACATTTTTAAAACTATATTACTATCATTGGGCTATAAATGGTAAGATCAATCCAACCAGATTAATTCTTAGGAGAAACAATGTTTCTAAGACTCCAATCGTTTTATAAGATCACGTTATGCGAGGTCCATTCATACAAGTTGATACTTGGATAGACGTTGTTATGAAAATCCTATTCGAGTTCGAGAGGATTTGTTTCGATTCAATTCATCGTTTTAAAATACTTTTTTTAAACGTTGCCCCAGACTAGGATTTTCTCCTGTATCGTGGGTGCATTTACAAACATACAAGTTCACATACACATGACACCCAGACCCGGAACAACAATCTGTGGATCACACAAAGAGTTGTTCCGTGCGGGAATCGAACCCGCGACACATTGCGCAGCAGCCTGTTGCCCAACCACCGCGCCAACCGTGCAGTCTTTTTTTATAAATGATTTTTTGATTGATTGAATTACTTTTATTTATAAATGATCGTATCAAGGTCTGAATCGTTTATAGTAGTAGTATGAGTCTGCGCAAAGGATCACCGATCCCATTCCTAGATTATACTTAGTTGTAAACAAGACGGTGATTTCACGTCTGAATTAAAACTTTAATATCTTTATCTAGGTAGGATTCACATTCGTATTTAATGTTTGTTTATTACACATCACAAGTAGAACTATTGTCCTAAAAACGTGTTGCAAAATGTATGTTAATATGGAATTGTCTAACTTCTATCTCTGCAAAAATCTAGTTTCTTTACAATTGTTCACTGTGTAGTTAACCAATGATGTTTTAATTTACACATTCAGTTTTATATTGATTGAGAAGACTATTTATTGGTAAATATTTACAGTTCCATTGGCTACATAAGATATTGTCTTGTGGGTTAAATTCCCGGGTCGACAGAAGTATTTAAAAAATATTTGATTTTAAATTTCTGACGTATATCAAAGGCAATATCATTTATTTCAATTAGACCAGAAAGGCACTTTTGAATGTTAACAAAAAATTAAAAGTGAAACTATTTGCTAGTTCCAAAGTGTAGATTCCTATGGAGAAGAACGAGCAAGAGCAAGAAACTCCATAGGTTACTCTTTACCAATCAGGTTCACAATACAATTCTCTAGTTACATAGTTTATAATCGTCGAATCTATGTTAGTCGGTATGAATTATATGGATATAATTACTGAGGTGAATAACCCATAATTACATTTACTTCATTACATACCTAGCAAGATATATGAATCTAATTAAATACGAATACGATAGAACAATAATATCCGTTATCAAACAAAAATCACATCAAATGTGACCAAATCTACTTATAACAATGAAAACCTTACAATATACTAATGCACTTTCATAATTGCAGGGTTTACATAAAGAAACCAAGTCATCGAAAGGATATCATGATAGAGAGAACCACTTGGGAAAGTATGACGACCACGGAGGAGTCGACAAACATCATGAGGAGGAATCAGGACACTACGGAGACCATCATCATGAGGAACATGGAAAAAAGCATGCAAAGGTCGGTATTTAGGAGGTGGTATAGTACACACGTGATTTTAAGCGTAGGGGAGTCATGCTTCGACACGAATGGGCCGGTTGACCGCGGTAATACCACGGCCTCACAGGGAACCGGGCGGTGTGAAACAACCAGTGTTGTTTCCGCCCTCTAAGGGTCAATTTTTCCAATGCCACATAAATTTGAACTGAGATATAACTTTGAATATTTGATAATTCATCCATACTAGAAACTGTATTTTATTCTACAGTTAAAAATTAACTGATGATTGAAAAATTGACCCTAAGTGAAGTTGCTAGAGACCCATTTCTCCCCCCTCATTCCACATCCCATAAAGCGGGCAATGCCAATGTAATTGTAACTACTCTGGTGTAGGTCATTCAAAATCTTTTAGGAATTTTTAGGAATCTTTTATTCTTTGAAATCCTATTGCTTCGAAGCCTGTAACCTGTAGAGTAAAGGTATGCGTATCACCAATCCAATCTTAATAATCTAATCACTATTTCTAGAAAAGAGTTTAACACAAAATAGTTTTGAGTCTGGACAAAGATTCTAAGTGTTTAAAAACTGATAAAAAATTGTCTAAAACTTTCACAAATATTATTTTCGTTATGAACATCATCTAGATATTAAACGGTACAAGACGAGTTGTTTTTGCTGGTGAGAAAAAGTTCAAGTACTTAGGTACATGTTGAGTACTAAAAGGACGTCACTGCTATTCAGATACAGACTTACTAAGAGGTGACAAGGTCCTATTTTGCTTTTATTTTTATTTGTAAAATATTTTCAACCAACAACGAAGTTTCAAGTAAATGTGTGAAAAACTTGAGCAAAATGTTAAGAAAGAGTGAAAAATTATTTTCATGATGCTGTAGTAATCATCGGCCAATCAAATAAACACTTAAAAAAAGGAGACATCGAATTGACATCTGTGAATTCGAATGACATTGAAATAGATTAAAAATATGTCCAGACTCCAAGCTACCTAAGTACCTAGTCAGTATAATTTAATCGATTTTCAAACTTTACTATTAAGTAAAGTTTATTTTTTCAAAGTTTATTTTTTACTCGTAATTCTGATGTCAATTTTTTTTTTACTACGAGTGTGAACTTATGGTTTTTGAGTCCTATCAAAGTCAAAGTACCTAACAAACATTTTTATTTTATTTTGCTTAAATTCTACTTTAGTACGAGGAATCAGGGAAACATTCGAAAGGGCATAGCACCAAAGGGAGTCACGACATCCACAAGAAGGAAGAATACGAGAAAAAGGTGGAGTTTTTCGAGGAAGAAGGCGACTCCGCCGAGGAGGAGAAACATGGCGGCTTCAACGAAGAGCACGGTCACTCTAAAGTAAGTTATATTACTATAATTGCAAAAGTACATTTCGCTTGTCACCCTTAGGCATTTGAACTACGAAACATTCTTCGATGAACATTGATTATGGTTTAGTTGGTAAATTATAAATTGAGATGCCTTGATAGTCAAGTCAAGACTTGCGTTCGATTACCAATCCGCAAACTTTTGTGTGATAATGAGATTTCGATTGCTAGACTGTTAAATAATAAAATAAGTAAAATCTTAACTGCCTCGTTGGCCGAGTGGTCGCAAGTGCGACTGCCGGGCAAGGGGTCTCGGGTTCGATTCCCGGGGCGGGCAAAGAATTACTGGGTTTTTAAAAATTCTCAGTAGTAGCACGGAGTCTGGAATTGTGCCCGGTATATGGCAATAGGCTCACCCCCTATTACATGGGACTCATAAATAGTGAAAAGTGGGTGTTACATTGTACAGTGGCATAATGTGCACCTCTGCCTACCCCTTCGGGGATAAAAGGCGTGATGTTATGTTATGTAAAATCTTAACTATAGCCCGAATACTAAAAGGCTTAATTTTAGGTTATACTTAAATATCGTGCCATCTCTGTCATTTTACAAAGAATTCGTAGAGACAGAACTATACTTAAGCGCGTCCTAAAATTCAGTAGCGTTTAAGTATTTGAACATTATTCTGTTAAAATTACAAATCAGTTCGTTGAATACAACACCAAAATGGTTGATTATTTTAATCTCTTACATAACAATAGGTTATTAAATTCATTAATATTTAGATCTCACGTGGTATTACAGTATGTTTACGATTAAACTGCTCATAGGTACAATCGATAAATGTAGCGAGTGCCCCAAAAGTAAATAATTCGCTGCCGTTTTCCGTGGAATGTTGTCTTGATTATTTGGATTCGACGCATACCTGAAGAAGATAAAATACATTCTTTATTGTGTTAGTGTATAGTTGTATATTATAAAGTTATTATAACCTCTAAAATTTGTGTATTATAAGAACTGTAAGTATAGTATCTCATTCTAAAATTTCATGTGTAGGTATGCCTAGCGTGTGTTCACGGATATGCTATTATTAGACTTTTAATAACTTCATTTTAAATTCTATCTTCCTTTTTATGAGGGGATTAAATCATCCAGTGCCTTCTCCCGCCTTGGGTACGGCATGAGGGAGTGTCAGGCTCTTACTGACTAAAAATCACCTCGTTCCTACTTCTACTCTTACGAGCCGGAGCCCCGGTTACCCGTTAGGCCCTCCGCGGCTCCGTATTGGCATCAGCCCTACTGGACCCTGCCATAGCCATCAGATCTGTAGTGGTCTGATGGCTATATGAGGCGCGCGTGGAACGCGACGCGCCGTACGCTCGGGTCGGGTTCTGATCGGCCAGTGAGTTACCTGTGCTCGCCGTCCGCAGGCCCGTGCAAATTATCTTTTCACTAAAGTCTAAAATCATGTATAAACAATCTTACAATATTTAATCCGAATATAAACCTGTACAGGTCGTGCACCAAGAAATTTTGCCGATAGTACTTACATATTACTAACGCAAGCGAAATATTAATTTTAAGCTTTAATTAACAGATTATTAAGTGTATAATTACTTAATTAGGTTTCCTTGTTAACTTGTAAATTAGGGTGTGCTAATAGTTTTGGGATTACAAGGTTTCTTTTTGAAAGTGCACGACGCAAGTTTGTACTATGATTGACAAATTAATTTGATATTGATTACAAGTTAATTTGAACGTTAACGACCGAATTAGCAACCAATTCGTATTTAAAACTTTGGGTTACGATCAACTTTTCTTAGTTTTTGTTTAGTTATATTGAATTTCTTTGAAAAACCTAGATTGATTCAGACATTTGGAATGAGATTAGTTTTAGGAATTATAGTTATTATGCGAAAGGATTAGGGTTGCTTAATAATAATTTGTTTTCAAGATTTTAAACTAGTAGCTCGATATACCTATATAAGAAAGTGATAAACTTAAATTTCGAATCAGGTAAGGAATAGGTATTTTTAAATACAGCACGATACGTAGAAATAGTCGTGGTGTACGTCAAAACCAGTCTTATTATAATGAACTAGAGGATCAAGTTTCCTTGTACGAACCGCTGAGGAATGTAATTTCTTGCCGGAGTCTGTGCTTCCCGACGAACGCAACTTGGGCGTCTTCAAGTCCCGAGTGAATAGTGCCTTTAGCCAAACGCCACCTTAGCGCATGTCTACCGAGAGTGTAGACAACTAAATGTATGGGGATGACACTGATAAGTGTCAAAATTAATATCAATTCCATGTAATTTAGATTTCTATTCTACATGTAGACAAGCGCTAAATGGCATTTGGCTACAGCTGCTGGTTACTCATAGGTAGACGTGCTCCATCGTCAGCCACATCGTAGCTTACCACCAGGCGAGATGGTGGCCAAACGTAAGTCTACCAAGTATAAAAAAAAATATAACATAACATCACGCCTTTTACCCCCGAAGGGGTAAGTAGAGGTGCACACAGAAGTAACACCCACTTTTCACGCTAGTTTACACTGTCTAGAGAAAAGTCATATTTGATTCTTCGGTCGTGCAAAGCAATATTCAGATTATTGATATCCGATTTCATTACCCTTTCCCCCAACCCTCTGAAATATGATAAGGATTGTACCCTGTACCCTATTACAGGGTGCCCTTAGACCGGCGTAGGATTGTGTGTCAATAATTTTGAACTGATTAACAATCGTTCTCAGGGTCACTCAATGGCTACTCAACCCAATACTTAGCAATTAGTAGTTAGTTCGTAGTTTTTTCAGTCAAGTATAAGTTATTTCGACTTTTCAATGAGTTACAATTACAATGTTTAACACGTTCCCTGCGCCACCACTTTCAAAAAACTTTCAGCTGGTGCTTTGGAGACCTAAAAGATCTCCAAACGAACTGTAAACTGTAAACTGTATCTTTAGGAGACTAAAGATACAGTTTTTAAAATAGTTTATAACTATTTTAAACTTACTATTTTTAACTCCAAAAAAAACAATCAAATATATTTTGAGGGTGTTTTTGTGGGTGAAAGATAGCCTATTGCTTTATATTTTGCTAGGTTCGCACGCAGTTATGACATTTGAATAAACTACAAATACCAAAAAAAAATATGATATCGATTGTAATGCAACGAACGTGTTAAAAATAATCGTACTTTTACGTATGTGCGACTTCATTTTTTATTTTTTCTAGCAAATTTTACGAATTAATGTCGAAATACTTAAACGTTACCCAGTTGTAAGTTGCCCAAAAATAGTTCTATAACTACAAATTCTCTGTAAAGTGACACGATATTTAACTACAACTTAAAATTGTGTAGCTCACGTAGCTATTTCACTTAAACATTTATTTTTGATGACGTGACGCAGATCTTGTTGCGATTTTGCGACATCCATACAAAAATCGTAATAATCATCATAAGAAATTATAGAGAAGTACAAGTTTTTGACATTTCAATAAAAATATTGAAGTCGACTAGTTATTAACTACCGTATTGATAAGTTTTGGAACAAAATCATTGTTAAAGAATAGTTATTAATTAGGTACTTGCCGACTAGTCAAATTCAATACTTTTTTCGAACTGTCAAAAACGACAATTTTCTATGAATTCTGTATGAGATTGTGTATTGTGACGTCACGTTTTTTTGCGTCAAACAGCATACTTATTTCTTAAAAACATGCTAGAAAAATAATAAAATTAAATTGGTTAAAAATCAATTAATGAAAGTGTCGAAATAATTTATTTTAGATTAAGGATAGTACCCAATTAGGAAAAGTTAATAGTTGTCAAAGATAAGTAATAAATTAGTACAACAGTTCAATAATTCGGTTATAATTTTTCCGTAGTTTTATCACTTTTTAGAAATCATATTGTATGTTTTACATCAATAAATAAACCTTACTATATTCTTTGCATAGTGAGTGGGTTTACAAAGGGTCATCGCAAATACTCGTATACGGAAAAGGTATCAGCAGATTACAAGAGATACCTACGCAATTCAAATATTTGATTGAATAAATAAGATCGTGCATCGATCAAATTGTAAGAAAATATCTAACAATATCCTTACTATATAATATATATAATAATATTATAAATCGGAAAGTGAGTTTGTTTGTTTCTTTGTTTGTTCCACCTTCACGCCGTAACTACTTAACCGATTGCTTTGAATTTTTGCAGACGTAAAGTTAGAAGACCGGATTAAAAATAAGGTACTTTTTATCCCGGAAAGATTTGATGTTCCCGAGGGGAAAAGGTATTGGTATAGATGGCGCTATGTGTATTGGTATATGTCACATAGGCTACTTTTTATCCTTTCGTGACGCGAGCAAAGCCGCGGGTAAAAGCTAGTAATATAATAATAATATAATAACTGTGAAAGTGTACCCATAGATCCCCAAGTGGTCACCGGTGACCGCTCTCCCCTAATATTACATTACATTATAGACTTTATTTCCAATGTTTAGAGACTACTTTTGTATGACCAAATTTAGGGGATGGATTTCAACAGGTTGAAGTGTTTTTAGTGTGTATGTTTGTTACTCAATCACGTCAAAATGGCTGAAGGGATCAGGATGAAATTTGGAGCAGCGGTAGATTATGATCTGGAATTACACATAGGCTACAAGGCTTTACTTGTCGCGGAGAACCTAACGGGTTACCGGGTCTCCGGCTCGACGTGCAGGAGAAGGAACGGGGTGGTTTTTAGTCAGTAAGAGTCTGACACTCCCCCCCGCCTCACCCAGGCGGTAGAGGTCATTCGATGATTTTCCCCTCATAAAAAAAGGCTCCGGCTCGACGTGCAGGAGAAGGAACGAGGTGGTTTTTAGTCAGTAAGAGTCTGACACTCCCCCCCGCCTCACCCAGGCGGTAGAGGTCATTCGATGATTTTCCCCTCATAAAAAAAGGCTCCGGCTCGACGTGCAGGAGAAGGAACGAGGTGGTTTTTAGTCAGTAAGAGTCTGACACTCCCCCCCGCCTCACCCAGGCGGGAGCAGTCATTTGACGATTTCCCTCTCCTTAAAAAAAAGGCTGCCTTACTTTTTTTAAGCAAGTGGGTGAAAAAACAAAGAATTTTTTGTTCATTAAGTGGTTCCAGGTCTTAATACTGAGATTAGACTCGCTGGTTAGACAAAGTAATTATGTGCATTTCTGTCTACCATTTTATGGGTTAAAAAAGCATGACGTTATGGATGATTAATAGTATTTTATTCTTTATAATTATTAGAGAATTTTGATATTTTTTTCCTCGTTCTGAAATCAATCCTGAAACCTTATGTTCAGTCGTGCTTGAATTAAGTGGTTAAATTTCATTATAATATTTTGTAAACATCTTTTTTGAAATCAACGTGTCATCATTTTTAAATGAAACGAGTTAAATTTCAGTAAAATCAGTGGCCTGTAACTGAAATCATGTATTGACTAAATCAATCAGACGAATCGTGTCTGGGTTGCTAAAAAATCTACATTTCAAAATGCAGTCTAGACTTGAGTCATTACGATCTAGAATCTCGTGAAAATGTCGTGGTGGCCCAGAGGTTTAAGACGCCCGCTTCTCATGCATGAGAATGTGGGTTCAAAACCTACCAACGGCAAGTACCAATGTGACATTTCCGAGTTATACATACTTTCTAAGATTATTTAGACACGGTAAAGGAAAATATCGTGAGGAAACCTGGGCTTATAATTTTTAATTATAAGTTTGTAATCGCGAACCCGCATTGAGTAAGCTTGGTGATTAATGCTCAAAACCTTCTCCGTGTGAGAAGAGGCTTTGCTCAGCAGTGGGCATTTATAGGCTGTTGATGAACTCGAATCAGGAACTTTTGAATTTAACTTTTTTTTATAAAAGTTCGTCGTGACGTCTCAAGGTCCTTTAAGTGACCTGAATGTCCAAGGTTCGATGTTCCGGTTGATGAAAGTGAGAGCATAGAATTATAATAATTTATTCATCGGCTTTTTGTCACCTGGTTGATGCAATCTTTGACCTTTTACAAATAATTTGCATCAATCGTGAATAATTACTGGTCACGTTTCATTTATTGATTATTTTTGTTATTGACTGCCTCGTTGGCCGACTGGTCGTAAGTGCGGCTGCCGGGCAAGGGTCAGCAAGGGTCTCGGGCTCGATTCCCGGGTCAGACAAAGTATTAGGTATTGGGATTTTTACAAAAAAAATATCAGTAGCGGCACGGATTCAGGAATCCTGCCCAGTATATAGCAATAGGCTCACCCTCTATTACATGGGACTCATAACATAAATAGTGGAAAGTGAATGTTACATTATACAGTAGCATTAAGTGCCGTAATGTGCACCTCTGCCTATCCCTTCGGGAATAAAAGTAGTGATATTATGTTTTAAGTTATTAATATCAGTAAAATGTAGCAACTCAACTTAAGAATAAACAGAAATGAATTTTAGATATGTTTAAATGAACTAATTTCTTTTCATAATCACTTTTTAATAAACTTTTCGCATTAAAACCATTTAGCTACATATAACTTAATACTTAAACCATTAACGAGTAAGACAATGTTAACTTAGAGCTAACTTAATTAACTTAAAACATAAACTGTAATTAGTTATATGAACAAAACAAGGTTTTAATTACAAAGTCGTAATTTTAACTGCATGTTGCAAGCTTAGGTTAAGCAAGGGAAGTTAGTTACTTAAAGTAATCCAACTTAACTGTAACTTACATTTCCTGTCTAGTTATTGTGTTGGGAGTTATTAAGTGTAGTTTATGAGCTGTGGGGGTAGACTAGACAGCCATTTTGAAAATGGTTAACTGTGTAATATGATTTTTTTTGCGGTGGTGTTTGAATTCATTATTATTGCTGTTTATTGATTTCCGGATGCCCCGTTTGCCGAGTGGTCGCAAATGCGACTGTCTTGTGTTCGATTCCCGGGTCGAGCTAAGTATCAATAGGTTTTCAAAAACAATTGGGATGATGACAGGGTATTAAAATTAAAAATGTAATTAGTCCGTAAGTTAGGTAATGAAAAAATATTATACACGTATTTTTTTATTTTGTCGTATAATAAAACAATACTTAGATAAAACGAATCAAAGTTTAGGAGTGGGGGCTAAAACGTCATTTCTACGTATAAAATGTACATAGAAGTGACGGCACGCGACATTTCAAATCAACATATCGCCGAAAGCCCAAAATACATATGTATTTTATTTTCTTACATATGTATTTTATTTTCTTACAGAAACGAATACTTTACTTACTAATGATTTTAAATAATCTACCAGACGGGCTTAATGCCCGTGACTGATTTTTTTCATCTACCCTATTCTTAGTAATAGCACGGAGTCTGGAATTGTGTCCGGTATATGGCAATAGGCTCATCCCCTATTACATTGGACTCATAACATAAATAGTGAAAAGTGGGTGTTACATTGTAAATGTTACCTCGACATAAGAAACGCTGCACAAAGAAAGCCTTGTAATTTATGATTCATTCATGAAAATATATTGTAATCATACATATGCATCCCCATCAAATAGATGGTTGGCAGGCCACAACTGTGCGGTTCTCACGTAGCTTTCTACCTCGCACAGCAAAACTGTGGAATGATCTGTCGTCGGCGGTATTTCCGAACCGATACGACCTTCAAACCTTCAAGAAAAGAGCGTACTCCTTTTTAAAAGGCCGGCAACGCACCTGTGACTCTTCTGGTGTTGCGGGTGTCCATGGGCGGCGCTGATCGCTTACCATCAGGTGATCCGTCTGCTCGTTTGCCTCCAATTCCATAAAAAAAAAAAAAAAAAAAACATAATGAGATTGATGACTGTAGACGAAGCGATAGAGGTATGTCATTATCACGTCATTTTGCTTCCATTGTCTCTGCCTACCCCACTAGGAGACAAACATGACGTTATATATTTATGTATATACTAGCATTTGCCTGCGACTTCGTCCGCGCATTAATAACATCAAGCAGAATTGAGATTACAATTTCCAAGGCCAATATCTATTTATATTGAACTAGCTTTTACTCGTGGCTTCGCTCGCGTAAAAAAAATGGATAAAAGTAGCCCCTGTGACATATACCAATACACACAGCGCCATCTATACCAATAATTTCGTTTTCCTTCGAGAATATCAAATTTTTCCGGGATAAAAAGTACCTACCTTTTTATTTAATCCCGACTTCTAACTTCACGTCTGCAAAAATTCAAAGCAATCGGTTTAGTAGTTACGACGTGAAAGTGGAACAAACAAACAAACAAACTCACTTTCCGATTTATAATATTAGTAAGGATTTAATTTTATTTATTTTTCTTTTACTATTTTTTTTTACTTATTGTAAATGATTACGTGCTTCAAAATACATAATTATAGTTCAAAATTTTACACACGTAAGTCTCGTTTCCGTAGGATTTTCATTATAAAACGTTGTAATAATAATATTTCGAAACTGTATTCAAATTAAATACACATTTTCCTGCATGTCGTTACAAAGAAATTCAATTAAAGTAGATAAAGATATACCTATATTATAAGTTATAAGAATATGAGAACTGTTGTGACATTCCTATTAAAAGGAAACAAGTTATGAAACCTGTTTTAACTTGTCTTATCACAGTACTGATGTGGTTTATTAAACATGTCTGAAACATGTTGTTTATGTATATTACATACATTTCTGGAATGAGCACCTAGCTTCACCTAGTTTCACTGACGGGTCAGTCCGTCCGTGACAGACTATTATTTATTTTGTATTTGTTGACGTTTCAAAAGTACCAAACTATGGTTTAATTGAAATAAATGCTTTGATTTTGATTTTGACTTATTATAAAACTGTTACTGAAAGAGTTACTACAAAAATCATGCAGATAATACATCTATACTTTGTAAAAAGTTTATTAGACAAAATATTCTCAGTAGTAGCACGGAATCTGGAATTGTGCCCGGTATATAGCAATAGGCTCACCTTCTATTACATGGGACTCATAACATAAATAGTGAAAAGTGGGTGTTACATTGTACAGTGGCATAATGAACGTATGCCTACCCCTTCGGTGGTAATAGGCGTGATGTTATGTTATGTTATATTATGTCGGTTAAAATACAGTCTATTTATGAATTTAGAGTTAATTTGACACTTGTTTGAAAGTAATTGAATCGTATTTAGTATTTGTATTTGTATTTATTTATTTATGTAGAGGTACATACATTCAACACAGAGGACAATACATAATAAAAAACAGAGTACATAGTCTTGTTTAGGTACTATTCTATGCTAAATGTTTATATTTTAATTTCTCAGGGCGGGCATTTCAAGAACGGGAACTACAAGGCGGGCCACGAGGAGCACAAAAAGGGGGATTCGGGTCACTTCGCAAAAGGAGGTCATTTGCACGTGTCTAAGGTAAAATAATAACTATACCTCTAGTATCTAAACTAATCATAAATATATTACCACTACATCAATACATAATTTAGTATCTACATAATGTATTGGCAGTGGTACATGGAACTTCCACTTTTGGCCATACTAATCAATACTTAATTTAGATACTAAATTATGTATTGATGTAGTGGTAATATATTTTTGGTTAAATAAACTTAGGTACCTATTATTAGTACAAAATGAATACAAACTAATCATTATAACCTGCTTTACTGTAGACCGTAGCCCCAACTGCTTTTATAGTCAGCTAATAATAATAATCAAATTGTCTACAAAATTTATTACATTACTTTTATTAAACACAATTTCAAGGCGGACTCAATAGGTTAGGCGCCGGTTTCACCACCTCTATATAAGTACCTGATATGCTTATGTGACAGATAGTTCATACAAATTACGTTCTTAATTCAAATGTATCTGGTAGATAGCGGCTATCCAGTGCCTTTAGCCAAACTCCACTTTAGCGCTGGTCGACAGAGAGAGTAAAAAACAAAATGTATGGGGATGACACTGACAAGTGTCAAAATTTACGTCAATTCCATATAATTTGGTTTTGTATTCTACATGTAGACAAGCGCTAAATGGCATTTGGCTACAGCTGCAGATACTGTGAAACAGGCCCTAAATTTTATTTCTCGAATATCAGTGTCAATATTGACTTTTAAATTCATTCGGAAGAATAAGTTTAATCGCCATTTTTCTAGGTTAAGACAGGTTATTGCTACTACTATCAAATAAGTTAAATATAAACCACTCCCTACTTAGATCTTATCGAAATAAAAGTCATATTGCATTACGATATAATACGGTTGGCGCGGTGGCTGGGCAACTAGCTGCCGCGCAACGTGTAGCGGGTTCGATTCCCGCACGGAACAACTGTACTGTTTGTAAACGCACCATTGACACAGGAGAAAATCCTATAGTGGATAAGAAAAATACAATTTGACTGCCCGGTTGGTGCGGTGGCTGGGCAACCGGCTACCGTGCAACGTGTCACAGATTTGATTCCCGCATGGGACAACACTTTGTATGATCCACAGATTGTGTTCCGGGTCTGGGTGTCATGTATATGTGATATTTTATGTTTGTAAACGCACCCACGACACAGGAGAAAATCCTAGTGTGGGGCAAAGTTTTTTCCAAAAAATAAAAATAAGAATATAAATTAATCTTTCTGTTTCAGGGACACAAGTCAGCAGCCGGTCACGATGGCCATTCGAAAAAAAATAGTGCCCATTTTGCCAAAGAGGGTAAAGATGCGGGCAAGAAATGGATCTATCATCACGGTTATCCGCCCAAAACCTCGAACCTGGTCCTAATAGATAGGAGAACGGACCAAATGTACCATGGACCCCAGTATTACGGATAGACCAAGATCTTTTAGAAGGCTATCGCTAGAAATTAATACCTGATATTAATTCAAAACGATCGATCTAAGTATATTTTTTGAAAGATTTTCATAACTACAGTTAGAAATCACTGAATTGATCTATGTTTTGTAGAGAAATTCGATACAATTTATGTTCAAAAACCATATCAATTATATCAGTCATTAATTTCAGTCATAAGTGGTCTTATTAGGACTGTCAATTTCGGCCAAATACCACCTGCACAAAGTAGCGTGTACACAATAGTGTTATTTTATAAATATATCATCCTTCTCCTAAATATTTTGCTCCATTGATCGCCAATTATGATATTAGAATGACAAAATGATTAAATGACATATTCTTTCTTTCTTAGTTTTTGATATTTGTTTTTAGTGTTCCTATATTGGCTGACAAGGTATTTGTAACTTCTCTTGTGTTGTGGGTGTCTTTAAGTGGCGCTGATTGTTTAATTACCATCATGTGTTTCGTCTGCTTGTTTATAAAAATAATCAAAGACAATAGTTTATATATATATCTATGTTTGTTCTTCCTAGCTATTGTTTTAATTAATTCTGAGGTCACCACCAATCGAGTTCTAATCTGTTTTGCCTGAATGGCATCTTAAGTGGAATAATGGCCACATATACTTTTGTTATGGAGGATTAATACAACTGATGGCAGTGTTTCCTTATGGCCTACTATTTCTGTTTTTATAGCACTCCTGATTGGTATTTAGTATTAAAATTAATGATTTGCTAACAAAAAAACATTTAAGAATTTTTGAAACATAAAATTCGAACAAAATGGATCCATCTGATTAGTTTACATGAGGGCAATTTTATGAAAATTTTCGTAATGTTGTCTCTTGGGGTATTTTAATCGATTTTAACCTTGGAACTTGTTTTTAATCATCGTCACAAGAAGGAGAAGGTTTCTCTTTTGTAACAGACAGACTGCATGTTTCTTTTTTTGTTGTAGATTATTTGAAGTCTGTTTGGATTAGTATTAACACTATACAAAGATACATTATTATCGTCTATGGATATTGACCCGTATTATATAGATTATGGACCCTATTAATAAATACTTAAGCGATAATAACTTTCTAATATTTGTTTGTGAAAATTTTAGCTAAAATAGGATTCCTATATTCATTTGCTTGTGTCCAAGTTAAATTGCTGAAGTTTGATAGAATCGTTTAGTTTCTCCGTTCAACTAATATGGCTCGATGAGTTTTTTTTCAATATCACCGCTTTTGTAATATTTTGCTTTTAAAATTGAAATATGTTTAAAGCACTTGTCCTTTTGTCTTTTCTATTTACGCTATATAATCATTATATATTTATAAAGATCCAGCGCCGGATATGAACCTCTTGAATGCCGCTATATGAATGATAAAAATCTTATATTTTTTTGTATTATGTGAAAAGTTATAAGTATATAAAGTAATTCCCAATACAAAAACATAGGTCCATGATCTTCCTTGGATTCAATTAGACACGACTTATAAGCGCCAACCTAAGGATTTTGCAAAATTGAATATTATGCTTTATTACTTGTATCTTAAAGTGCAAATGGATTGCATTCAGTTAGATCAAATTGATAACCCTATTTAATACAATTTCTTGCTTTATTCTGTTGCTTGTAAATTTTATTTTTAAATGTCAGCGTTGTACCTAATGCGTTGTTCAAAATATAATGGTGACATATGGTGACTAGTTAAATGTAACAGGAATTTATTTAACGTTTATAACATAGTAAAATATATTTCCTTTTTTAGTCTAATCTAAAACAAAAAATTTAGTCTTTTTGACATATTTGATAGTAAAAATCTATCTTTTGTAACCGATATTTTTATAGGTCAAATGATTTAAAGCGACGCCAGCGCCCCTGGTGGCAAAAGGTCTAGGTTTTTTACGAATTTAAAATCATGTTATTTTTTTTTATTTTAGTCATAGATACTTTTTTATGTTTTCTCATCGTAAGATTTTTTTTAGTAAATTATGACTAAATAGGTTAACGTGCCTATATATCAAAATAGCCTTTTTATTAATGAGTTTTTTATTTTTCGTTTTTATTATCTTCTTATTTATCCGAACTATGCATTATTTTTGCTTTTTTACGTTTTTTTTTATTATTTTAATATATCGATTTACGATTTTTGTGAAATCATAGGTAATTTTTGTACTTTTTACTTATAAGTTATAATTAATTATATTTACACTTAATGTAAGTTAGTATAATTATTTCATAATTAATAATACTTTATTGTAAATACTCTTACTGTGATTATTTTTATCGTAATTTTTTGTAAATATTTTTTTTTCTAAATACAAGTGTATTTTTTCAAATTTGTTCTTTATTTCCCATTTTTTTATTCAATTATAATTTAAATACATTTTCGGAAGATATAACAAATGATAAACAAGGATTGAAATTTTTTTCTAAAGTAAAATTAGTCGTTAAAAAGGACTTAGCGAAGACTGATGATGATGACTGTACGCTGTAATGTATGATGTTGGCGCGGTGGTGGGGCAACTGGCTGCCGCCCAAAGTGTCGCGGGTTTGATTCCCGCACGGAGCAACTCTTTGTGTGATCCACAGATTGTTGTTCCGGGTCTGGGTGGAGAAAATCCTAGTGTGAGGACGTTTTTTGTTTAAAAAAAAGAAGAATTTCGTATAATTTCGTATAGTTTCATATTATACTAGCGGACCCAACAGACGTTGTCCTGCATATCTTCTTGAATGTATAAACAAAAATTCATTCAAATTAGTTCAGCTGTTTAGGATAAATAACCTAAACATCGACTGCTGCGCCATCTGCCGGGCTGATTTGTGAATCTAAACCGTTCCCAGATCCCCTTGAACACAAAAAATATTTCATCAAAATCGGTCCAGTCATTTGAGAACTTCTCTCATGCGTGGCATACACACTCATAGAAGAATTATATATATAAAGATTGAGGTGCCTTGTATACTCAGACAAAAACATCATAAGTGAGATTAGACTCAGTCAAATTTAAAACAGAAAATCACGAAAATTAAAACAAAATAATCATCAAAATAAAATTTAAAGATAAATAAAAGTGATGAATTGTAAAGCAATAAGTATTGTCACAAAGTTTTTCTGCCACCTGATGGTAGACAGTGACAGATCGCCATTTCATTTATTTTCCTTTTAACAAAAAGGTTACGAAAGATGCGTTAAATATTTCGTTTTTTTTTTGAAGAAACGACAAATAAAATCGCTCTTAAAATTGCCAAACACACTTTTCCTTGTTGAAGGGCAACAAGTTTAGATATAGTTATGTTTCTGCCACCGACAGAGGGAAATGCCTGCAAATGAAAACTATAATCATTAGACTAAGTTTATTATAATTAAAATTACATGTTAACTCTTAAAATCTAACTAACCTAAGAGCGAATGCGTTCGATGTTAGAACAACACTGCTTTCTTCTCTTAAAATTATTTCGAAAGAAGGTTTTCAATAAAACCTATTGAGGTTAAATTTAGTGGGGTGATTGATGATGCAGCGATTCGTAGCTGGGCACGAGGCGGTGACATGAGGAGACGATTCAGCAGTTTGGATGTTGCAATACTTCGTTGCATCAAAGTAGGTGTAATGTCCTGATTCAGCAGATATGGTCCTCGTGGCACGGCGTTGATCACGGTGTAGGTACATGTGTTGGCACTGATACGTAACAATATCGTAAACATTTTATTTTTGTCTTTTTTATGGAATAGGAGGTAAACGAGCAGACGGATCATCTGATGGTAAGCGAACAGCGCCGCCCATGGACACCTGCAACACCAGAGGAGTCTCAAGTGCGTTGCCAGCCTTTTAAAAAGGAATACGCTCTTTTATTGAAGGTCTTATAGTGACAGCTGAGTTAGAACACATTTGTCATCATCCTTGCTCCTGCTCTGAATGTCTTTAGAACCGATTGTCGAATTACACATTTGACAGAATCCTGAACCTTTTAAACTACAACCTCCAATCTGGTTGCAAAGTTACAGCTAACTCTCTTATGTAAAGGCGGCTCAAACAGCAATGGCGGGCGCGAACTGATTGAAGTCGATAAATACAAAGACAATAGGATTTATTTAAATGTTAATGTTTATTTACATATTTGTATATGAAAAATAAAACTGCCTCGTTGACCATGTGGTCGCATGTGCGACTTCTGGGCAAGGGATCTCAGGTTCAATTCCCGGGTAGGGAAGTAACTGGAATTTATAAAAAAAGCTCAGTATTACCTCTGAGTTCGGAATTGTGCTCGATATATAGCAAGTGGGTGTTACATTGTGTAGTGGCATTAAGTAGGTATCGTAATTTGAACCTCTGCCTACCCCTTCGGGGAAAAAGGCATGATGTTATGTGTATAAAACATACAACAGCCGGGAGGCTAAGTCCTGAGCCACGGCATCGCGCAAGCGGAATCTGTCGCGCACGATACAATTACTCTACATGTCTGAACGAGTCTTAGTACGAGTTTGAGTAATCGTAACGAGTACGCGTTCGGCGCTGTGATTGGTTGCTTCCTTGGGGCCGGCCAATCAAGAGTGTTTCGAATACTTTAAACGTAAATCAAATTCGTACTAAGGCCTCTGAACTGCGAGCGGGCGCGCTCACGATCCGGCGAGTATTTTTTTTTTTAAAAAAAAACGTTGCCCCACACTAGGATTTTCTCCTGTGTCGTGGGTGCGTTTACAAACATACAAGTTCACATACACAAAGACACCCAGTGTTTGAGACACCCATTTGTTTCGTGCGCAGTGGATGCGTCGTGACATAGAACTTAGTTTTAATGCCTTCTCTAAATTTGCATTCTCTAATACATTGTGTCCAGTAAACTTTGTAAAAAGATCAGCAAAAGTGCAGTCAAGTCATTTACCTCTAGATATACTTATTGCTTTATTGCTGAAATACATTATTCAGGGAAATATTCATGAAATATCATTCGTGCTTGTTACATGAATGATTGGAACGAAGAATTA